ATATATATTTTTTTTTTTTCCTTTTACTTGTTTACTTTGAATTTTTTTGAGACTGTTCTTTATTTTTGACCTGTTTTCAGTTATTTTTCTCTCTGTTAAGCACTTTGTGATGTTTGTGTCTGTAAAAGGTGCTTTATAAATAAAGTTTACTTACTTATTTTCAGAGCTAATATTATTAGCTTGGGAGCTAATGCTAATAACTTTAGCTCCAGAGCTAACTTATTAAACATCACATCTACTTGTTCCAACCCACATGTTGCACAGAACATAGAAACTAAAACCAAATATAATTTTTTTTTCATGTTAGAGCTTTTTTAGCCCAGATTATTCTCAAAGAAACCCATCATCATCATCATCATCATCAGAAAGAATTGTCAGTAAAAAAAACAGCGACGTGCTTACAGTGAAAAATGTAATAAACAGTTTAAGTAATCAGATGTTTTCACAAGTCAAACAACTTTTAGTAGAATAGAGAAAACATCTGAAGGCCAACATGTGAGAGAAGTTTCGGATCCTTTCAAAATAAATGTCACGGACTAAACAGACTAAAAAGTAAGTCTCAGATAAAGAGTTGAGTGAAAACGAGTCCGATTTTAACGAGGAGGTTCTGATGGTCACACAGGTGGATTTATTTTTATTTATTGGAGACAGAATAAGTTAAAAAGACCACTTCCTGTTTTGAAGAGTAGATTTTAGGTTAAAATCTGTTAAAGTTTAAAAAGATCCAGATCTGATGATTTAAACAGCTGTTTGAACTGAGCTGCACTGTTTAATAAAATGTCTGGACGCTCGTGCGTCGGCACAACAATCAGCTAAATAATTTAGAAGAACTTACGGGTTTCTTGCCAAAGATGTCCTTCTTCTTCTTTGAGCCAATGATGTCACTTCCTGTTTGCTTTTTGTCACTGAGAAACACAAAGAGAGTAGTGAGAAAGAAACATGGCTCCGTGGCTTCAATCTGTTTAAAACAAAAACACAAACATCCTCTGATGAGTAAACACCTCCGGAGACTCGTGTGTGCGACCGCTGCGCTGGTGCGCGGCGGCGGCGAAGATGAGACAGAGATAAGTGGTTAATTGGGTGGTCTATCTCTGCGGAGGATCTCATTACTGCGGCTCAGAGAGTTTCGTTATCGAGCCCGGCGCTCTAAAGAGCCACTAATGACACTTCCTGTGAGAAACCAGCGACGTCAGCGGCTCAGAGGGACGCTTGACACTAAACATGTCGGGGGACGTGATAAAAATATACAAATAAAACCCACCTGGCTTTGTAGGCGGAGCTAAAGGGGTTGGTGTTGGCCTGTGGGTCGCCGCTGAAAGGGTTGGGGGACCGCAGGTCTCCAGAGCTGCCGGAGCGGGCCCCGGTCCTGCGGCCCTCCTTCTTCCCCGTCACGCGCTCCAGCAGGCTGACCTTGTCCTTCTTCCCGCCCACGCGCTCCGCCCGCTCCCACGGCTGGCCCGCCTCCCCCTCGAACGGGTTGCGGTTGAGTGGGAGCGTGGCATACTTCTGTGGCAGGGCGGCGCTGACGTTGGTGAAAGGGTCAGCCTGGCCCTCAACGTCCCCGAACCCCGGCACCTCGCTCTGGGAACGCCGGTGGGGGCCGGCAGGTCCTGCTGGAGGAGGCCAAAACATCAGCTAATTCAAGTCATGATAACACACACACACACACACGCACGCACGCACGCACGCACGCACGCACGCACGCACGCACGCACACACACACACACACTTTAACTCTGTTAGAATCAACAAAATGTTTTAGAAAGTTTATGATTAAAAAAAAAGTTTCAGATCAAAACATCAAAACAGCCAAAAAGACCAGAACTGCTCAGAAAACAGCTGAAATACCAGAACCTCTAGTCAGYGCAGCCGAAACCACTCACAACACTTTAGCTACAAGCTGAAACCTGTAAAAAACCTGCAGCTAAAACTTAAAGTCAGTGGAAAAGTAGCTATAAGCTATCAAAACAGCAGCTACATGCTGAAACCAGAAAAGCTGCAATTAACAGCTAAAACTTAAATGATTGCAGCTAAATGCTAAGATTATCCCAAAAGAAGTTAAATTTTAAAGTAGCGAACAGTAGCTAAAAGCCTAAACTAGTAAAATTTATTTAAAAACTTAAGCTAAAAACTAAACTTAGCACAACAGCACCTAAAAGCTAATATTAGCACATTAGCTAAAAGATAAAATAAGTGCAAAAGTGTCTAAGCTGAAACCAGAGAAGCTGCAGTTGACAGTTTAAACCTAGAATGAGCACAACTGTAGCTAAAAAACTAAGATTAGCACACCAGTCGCTGAAAAACAAAATTAGCAAAAACGTAGCTAAAGCATATAACTAGCTAAACAGCAGCCAAAAGATAAAACCAGTAAAACAGCAAATATTTGTAACAAAAAACCACAACTACAATGTCAAATTTGAGCATTGTTAGCTAAAATGTTTACAAAATAGTGGCTAAAAAAATATTAAAAGCTTAAATCAGCAAAAAGCTAAAACAAAAAACACAGCTAAAAACTAGAGTGAGGCTATCAACAGCTACAATAAGCACATCAGTAACTAAAATATATTTCTAAAAACTTAGCTAAAATATTAGCTCAACGGAAGCTAAAAGGTAGAAGCAGTAAAACAGTAATAAAAGCTAAAGTTTGCAACAAAAACAACACAACAGCAATGTAAACCTAAAGCGTTGGTAGCTAAAAGATTATGAAACAGGAGCTCAAACAAGAAAAACAGTGGCTAAGTTTAAACTCTCAACAAATCATAGCTAAAACCCACAATTAGCAAACCAGCTATCAAAAGTTAAAGTTAGCACCAGAGTAGCATGAATGTGCATGTGTGTATGTGTGTGTATATTTTTTTCTTTTTTTTTTAAGCTATAAAATGTTTGAAGAGTTTTAAATGTGTTGTAAAGTTTGAGAATGAGGTCTGTCATCTTATTTATAATAAACTCTAATCAGCAGAAGTGGCTCAACAACAACAACAACAACAACAACAACAACAACAACAACAACAACAACAACATCAAGTGCAGAGCTGCGACAGAACCTGGTTCCTGTAAAACAGGTTTCTCAGTGGTTCTGGTTCCTCACCGCTCTCCTCTGAGGAGTCCAGTTTGGGTCGAGCGTTGGACCCGATCAGATCCGACATGGAGTGGGCGGCGGACAGTTTATGGGCCCCGGACAGCAGCGGCCTCTTCACCTTCGCCTCCGGCTTCGGCCGCGACTCCGGAGGAGGCCGGGCGGGGTCCGAGTCGCAGGCGGCGGAGCGGGGCAAGATGGCGGACGAGGCGTCTGTGGCACCGCTGTCGGCCCGGCGCCCCTTCATCTTGTGCTTGAGTTTGGAGAAGGGTGAGAGGGGCTTCTCCTTCATGGACAGGTCGAACATGCTGGCCGTCATGTTGTTCCTCATGAACTGAACGCTGACCTGCAGGCGACCACGCTCCTTCTTCTTCTTCCCCGGCTTGGACTCCAGCGCGTACCAGCTGAAATAAAACCACAGAAGAAGAATCTGACGCTCAGGATATCAACAGGACTGAACTGATTCTGTTATTTTTCTTTTCCAGTTAAAATCCTGCTCTTCCAGCAGAGTGCAGCTCCTGTTTTATTCTGCTCCTTCTGAACTCAAGTCTGAAGGAGACAAAAAGTCATCAAATTAACTTTTAACAAACATTTTAAAAGAAATGTAAAAGAAATGATGTTAATCCTGCGGCTGCTGTTTCCTAATTAACCGTTTTTCGACTCGCTGAGGGGCGGGGACCCTGCTGCTATTTCTGTCTTTATTTAGACACAAATAAAGTATTTTGTTCAGAAACGCACCACATCAGAGAGCGACGCTAAAGGTCATAAAAAAGGGTTTTTAAAGGGTTTGTGGCCRAGTCCAGGGAGGAACAGGACTTTAAAAAGGTCTTGTCTGTATTTTTGATCCACCTCGCTCRCTGGGAGAGGTCAAAATAAAACTACTTTGTGTTTTTAAAGAAGCATTAAGTAACAGATTTAACTGTGCTGCTGTAATTTATTTAAAACAAATGATCTGCGGTCGTCTTTGAAGTGCCAGCTACCAGCTGGACCCAGGAACCGGACTGGTTTCAGAAACAATCAGAAACAAAGAATCAGCTGAGTTCTGCCTATCAGAGGCCCGGTAGGGTCCAGTTCCCAGCGGATCGGCAGCCACGCCGCAGCGCCTCACGTGCCTCCTCAAGGCCAAGATAAACGTTGCTTCTGTACTTCTGGACCCAAAGTTCTCCCACTCAGACCCGGACCGCTGGGAAACTCCTCATCATCAACAAACACAGGTGCGAGATAATTACGGGCCGCCCGCTCACATATCAGAACCAGCTTCTCCTCCTCCACGTGAGGAGGAACACAGGCCCACTGTGCAGCCCAGGCCCGGCGCTGGGTTCTGGAGGGGCAGCGCCTCAAGGAGCATCGCTTCACACAGCTAAATAAATMCAAGCAGTGATGCTGATTAGAACTTATTGTGATTCTTCTGACTGACGGTGGACAAGAACCTGTTCATGTCTCTGCAGCAGCTTTAATGAAGCACAGCTCCGGTTCTGTCATTAACATCCTGTTTGCTTTATGTTGGACCGAGGGTCTCACACACTGGTACCAGAACCACCTGCAGTCCTCAAACACTGGTACCAGAACCACCTGCAGTCCTCAAAACACTGGTACCAGAACCACCTGCAGTCCTCAACTGGTACCAGAACCACCTGCAGTCCTCAAACACTGGTACCAGAACCACCTGCAGTCCTCAGGATGAGTCTGGGATCAGCTGTTTACAAGTTAAATAAAGTTCATTAAACTTCATCAGCTGAACCGTGATGGAAAAAAAGAGATGAAAACTAAAGAAATGAGCTGAAATATTCTAAAGAAGCTAAAATCAAGTACTTATAGCTAAAATGAGCAAAAGTTAGCTAATATTAGCGTATGGCCAGCTAAAACCTAAAAATAGTAAAAAGACCAGCTAAAAGTAGCATACAGCCAGCTAAAAGTAGCATACAGCCAGCTAAAGGTAGCATACAGCCAGCTAAAGGTAGCATACAGCCAGCTAAAGGTAGCATACAGCCAGCTAAAGGTAGCATACAGCCAGCTAAAGGTAGCATACAGCCAGCTAAAAGTGGCATACAGCCAGCTAAAAGTGGCATACAGCCAGCTAAAAGTAGCATGCAGCCAGCTAAAAGTAGCATGCAGCCAGCTAAAAGTAGCATGCAGCCAGCTAAAAGTAGCATGCAGCCAGCTAAAAGTAGCATGCAGCCAGCTAAAAGTAGCATACATCCAGCTGAAAGTAGCATACAGCCAGGTAAATGTAGCATACAATCAGCTAAAGGTAGCATAAGGTCAGCTAAAAGTAGCAGGAAGACAGCTAAACGTAGTATTAGACTAGTTAAAAGCTAAAATATTGTAAATAAAGTTAAATATTTTGAAAAGTATAGAAAAGGCAGCAGAGGATGAGGTGTCAGGTTTGTGAAGGGTTAAAGCTGAGATAAAGAAGCAGGTTTGTTTAGAACGCTGCTACTTTATCATTTTGATTAAATTAATTCAGCAAACGTTCACTTTCACACAACAAACCAACCACAGCTTCATTAAAGGCCTCGGCTGGATCCAAACCCAGTCAGTCAGGCAGGAACAATGAAAAGGAGTGACCAACAGGACATGTTCATCCAGCTCCACTAGTTTCAGTTCAACAGCTCGATGCTAACAAACAGCAGCTTCTCTCAACAACATAGATCAGGTTCAAAAATATATTTTTGTTAATTCACTGAGTCATTATGAGTCAACAGCAGGTGAAACAACACGGGTTCTGACTCAGTTAATGACAGATTCAGAATTGAGTGCTGGTGTGGTCGTCGCCACACATACTTTGTGTTAACAGCGTGTGTAAAATAATACTTACTCAGTTTTCTTCCTCTCCTTATTAACAAAGATTTCATTCAGGTTGATGGACTTCTGACCCAGGAACTTGTCCATCCCGACTAAGGAGCGGTGCATGACGGTGAGGCAGAGCTCGTACACCTCAGGGTTCCCCTCCAGAAGAAGGCCCGGCAGCTCAAACGAGGCCTCCTCTCTCCAGACGGGGTTGGCCGTCTTCTCCGCCACCGACGTGGAGTACTTCTCCTTGCCCAGCTGGATGATGGTGTAGGTGTCGTTGGTGCCGTTTTTGCCTTTGGGTTGTAACCCGGTGGCCTGCAGGACGGTGGCTTGGACATGGGTGGGAAACCATTTGTGAGACTGCTCGCCCAGGGACATGCTTGGCACCGTTTTCAACAAAACCCATCCACGGCCCGATTTATCGTTTGTGTCTCGGGTAGTTTACTTCAGCGAACACGAGGCGCGACGACCATGATTCACTGYGCCGGGGCGGTGGGTTGCTGTGACGACGGGCAGCGGCGGGTCTGACGAGCGGAGCGCGCCTCGTTCATCTTCAGCCGGATCACAGATGTCCAAGCCAGCGCTGAGTCATCTGCAGAGGAGACAGAAACACAGAGGCTGCAGTGACTCATGACGGTTCCTTTAAAGCGTTTATATTAGGACAGTTCAAAGACGGAGGAGTWAACRCAGACATCTGACGAGAAAACAAAAWGATGAAGTCTGAAACAGACAAAACGTTCTGACAGGAAACTAATGAAAGGCCTGAGGAAAACACTGCTTTCCATGCTGGTGCTGCTCAAAGCCTGAAAAATAAAACAAAAGACTGGAGATGAACACGTTTCTGTAAAACTGATTTAGTTGTAGTTGTTTTTCTGTCGACGAACATTGATTGATCAGCTAAAAATAGCATAAAGTTAGCTAAAAGAAGCATAAGGCCAGCTAAAGTAGCATAAGATCAGCTAAAAGTAGCATAAGTTCAGCTAAAAGTAGCATAAAGTTAACTAAAAGTAGCATAGGTTCAGCTAAAAGTAGCATAAAGCTAGCTAAAAGAAGCATAAGATCAGCTAAAAGTAGCATGAAGTTAGCTAAAAGTAGCATAAGATCAGCTAAAAGTAGCATAAGTTCAGCTAAAAGTAGCATAAGTTCAGCTAAAAGTAGCATAAGTTCAGCTAAAAATAGCATAAAGTTAGCTAAAAGAAGCATAAGGCCAGCTAAAAGTAGCATAGGTTCAGCTAAAAGAAGCATAAGGCAGCTACAGTAGCATAAGATCAGCTAAAAGTAGCATAGGTTCAGCTAAAAGTAGCATGAAGTTAGCTAAAAGTAGCATAAGATCAGCTAAAAGTAGCATAAGATCAGCTAAAAATTTCATAAATTTAGCTAAGAAGCATAATTTGCTAACCATATTTTGGTTAACTAAACGTAGCATAAAGTTTGCAAAAAGTAGCACAAGGCCAGCTAAAAGTAGCATAGGATCAGCTAAAACATAAATTAACATAAAGTTAGCTAAAAGTGGCCTAAGATCAGCTAAAAGAAGCATAAGATCTGCTAAAAGTGGCATGAAGTTAGCTAAAAGTAGCATAAGGTCAGCTAAAAGTAGCCTAAGATCAGCTAAAAATAGCTAAAAGAAGCATCATTTGCTAACCATATTATGGTTAGCTAAAAGTAGCATAAAGTTAGCAAAAAGTAGCACAAGGCCAGCTAAAAGTAGCATGAGATCAGCTAAATGTAGCATAAGATCAGCTGAAAGTAGCATAAGATCAGCTAAAGTTCAGCTAAAAGTAGCATAAGTTCAGCTAAAAGTAGCAAAAGATCAGCTAAAGTTCAGCTAAAAGTAGCATAAGTTCAGCTAAAGGTAGCATAAGATCAGCTAAGTTCAGCTAAAAGTAGCATAAGTTCAGCTAAAGGTAGCATAAGATCAGCTAAAGTTCAGCTAAAAGTAGCATAAGTTCAGCTAAAAGTAGAATAAGGTCAGCATTGGTTGGCTCCAGAACTGTAGCACAAGTTTTATTTAAATCCATCCAATCGTATTTTGCTAATAAGTTTTTATTATTTTTTCAAACTTTATATTCTTTTCTTAAAAACAAAATTATATGTAAAATAAAAAGAAAATACAAATAAAATGAAGCGAAAGGCAGCAGTGAGAAGAAAAATCTTAAATCTGTCCCTTTTTTCCTCAAGTATAAAGTCAAACAATAATCTTCAATCAACAAAACTCTTCCTAAAACAACTATTTTTATGGACACATCTTATACTGTTGATTCCGAGTAGTGATTATTAAAGTTACAAAGATCTTGTGCTATCTGTTAGCATTAAAATGTATTAAATTTAACCCATAAATAAAACCCATTTCAAAATATATGAAAATGTCTGTATCCATTCAAGCGAAGTAAACAAAATAAACGAGGTGTAAATAAATAAACGTTTTTCCTTAAAAAGAGCATCTTTCGACATGTTTGTCACAATGAAGTGTTACTAAACCGACTAGCTTCAATAAATATTACTGGAAGATCATTTAAAACACAACGTGACAATAAATCACAGCTGAAGTGAAGCTCTTTCCCGGTTCCACTCACTCGGGTGCAGTTAGCATCGCGCAGCTAGCGGCTAAGCTAACAGTTAGCATCACTGCCTCGCAACGTGACGCTTTACCTCAGAGTCATGTTATTTCCACAGCATGCGGTGGTTCAGCGCCTCAGCTCGGCACAGACGGCCGCCAGAAACACATTCACGGCAAACTCTGAGCAGCCGAGACGCCAGAAAGTGTTTGTTGGACCGCTTGTTGTGTTTCAGCGGCTCTGTGAGCGTCGGACAGCGGAGAGGTTACTTCCTGATATGACGTCACTTCCCTAATCAAACCAGTCTGAGGTTTATATTGAAAACCGTCCTTACCAAAGACACGGCCGTTCTGTATTTACTGGTACATGGGAACCTCAAACCTTTTAGGTCTGGGGGGCTGCTTACATGGGCAAAAAACTCCAGGGACCCCCTCATGAACCCCGTGCTGTTTTAAAAGATAATTTACTGTCATTTCAACCCCTAAATGCCATGGGAATATATATTTTTATTTAGTTTATTATATTTGTTTAATCAGTTCATTGTTCTCCTTGCATTTTTAAAGGGGCAATATCATGTAAAATCAACTTTTTTGAGTTTTATATCAGTTTATAATGGGACCCCCTCATGAACCCCGTGCTGTTTTAAAAGATAATTTACTGTCATTTCAACCCCTAAATGCCATGGGAATATATATTTTTTTAATTTGTGATGTTTTTTAATTAGTTC